AATGACGTCTTTTAAAACAAAATCCCAATCAATGTTGTCATCGTCGAATTCGACAAAATCGCCGTAAGTCTTCCACATGGTAATGTTGTGATCCGTGTGCTGGTAATGACGCATGCGCAATGACCAAAATCGCTAAGTATCATGATAAATTCCAGTGGGTTAATGATATGCACGACTACATCCATGGGAGTTTATTTTCGGGATAACTTGGTGTAAGGTGTCAACGATTTATTTGCCCGTTACGAGGGTTAGTACAATAGAATACTAAGCGTTTCCAGACCGGTGATAGAGGGACTGTGATAAAATGCATCGCCCGGATGCGCTCACTGGTTGCAAAAGTTGTGAGCTGGGTGTCTTTTTTTTTCGCTGAAAACACTTGTGTTTAGAAGTGGGTATATAAATAGAAAAAAAATGTTTAGAAGCTGAGTGAGTATGGTTTACGAGAGGTCTGTTTTTCCAATTACCATGGTTAAGTAGGTCCAATGGACGCGAATACGGCGAAGAATGAAACACCATTTGTAGAAAAAGACCAAATCTCGTCACTCTCTCACTCTCATAGGTATCGCGAAAGCCATTTGGGTCGAAGGGTCTAATCACCGTCCCTCAACACGGTGACGGTGGTCTAATGCAGTTTTCAATATGGTGACATGCCTGGGTGTCTGCCAATTATCAATCAATTCGGCTGCGATAACCTGACTTTTCTGTCAAACAATTTTTATGAGTTTTATGAGCATTCGTACACCACATTTGTGCTGCCCAGTGCGAACGTATGTTCCCTGTTTTTGCTGGAAATGAACGTCGACAACCAACCAAACTGTTTCCTATAAACAGTCTTCATTAACACCGCCCTCTATTTTTGGTTATTCACAGCGGGTTGTGCAGAAGGTGAGATCACGTCGGAAGGAGAGTGTTTTGTTCCACTGCCCGGACCAGAGACATGGGAAGGGGCAGTTCTCGCTTGCCAGGATATCGGAATGGAACTGGCTTCCATTCTTAGCGAACAACAGTTCATTGACATCCGCGAGCACTTAAATGATGCACTTGACGGTGACTATTGGACAGGACTGAACGATCAAGAGGTTGAAGGTAGGTCTTAATATGTGTACAAAGAATTCCGAACGTTGTTTGTGACGTCAGCGATTTGAATTGCGCATGCCCATCGAGTCACTGTAATCCTCGGGGGCGGAGCTACGTCACAAGACGTCCCACGTTGCTAAGACGCGCACCCGCTGTACCACGTATTTCCACGGGCTATGTGCGCGCTGCTGAGGAACGCGGAACGCCGAGCGAAGAGCTGGTGAAAATTCGACAAAAAACAACAGAAACTCAACTTTGAAATAATCCTTAACAAGCAAATGTATATGCGTTACACACGCAGGAGTAATCTTGCTAATACTTGTATTACTAGTCTGAGGTTCAGGGGAGTCTCAACAACTTGAACCATCCCAAATTAAAGTACCGTTTTCTGAGAGTTTTCAGCCTTTGTTTTCACCGTGATTGTTGTCGAGCGGTGAAAATGCCCGGATGTCCGCCCCGAA